AAAAACTAATATTTTAAACTCATTTCTATTACTTCCATGCGATACCACAACATATAATAGGCGTGACTAAAAACTAATTTATTTAAGAAAAATGTCAAAGTACGATAAAATCTGACTCTGATTTTTATTTATTGTAATGACATACATAACAATAAGTAAGAATAGATGCCGTTGGAACTTAAATGAAACTCTAAGATCAGAATAATCTACATATAATATGATAATTTACCTGACAGTTCGACAATGAGTTGTTAGTTTATCATTTTAATATCGATTATACTTAATTAACGAAATAATATTTATCATTACTTTTATAGTTTTATATTTTATATAAAAGAACATTAAACATGTATATTTAAAATATTAAAAATACCTAAATATTATATAATATGTGTAATTAGACATTAATTCACGTTAATTTTTTTTAAATCGAACAATTTTTAATTGGACCACTGCCCTATTATATTATATGTATGAATATTTTTTATGTAGTAGATTTATATATATATATATATATATATATAGTTTTTGTCTAGCAGATTTATATTTTTATCAATACAATCAATAGAAAATCGATTTCCTATACAAAATCTCAAAAACTTTGTTTCAAAAAAATAGTAAAAAATAATAAAAAATGAGGATTTGTATATATCTTACATAAAAGAGAATATATATATATATATATATCATAATAAATTGTTTATTTCCAGAATTTGCTACAATGAATAAACCAATTTGAATGTTACTATAAAATTATATTTTGTGTATATATATGGTAACCTAAATCATTTATTCTAATAAATATGATGAAATCAAAAAGAATCTTGCATCAATGAGAATTCTAAAACTGGCGCCATATAGATTTAAATATTACTATAAAATTGTACTTTGTGTATATAACATATGTGCTAATCTAAATTAATGATGATTCTAATTAAAACAAAAAAGAATCCTCTATAAATGAAGATTCCAAAATAAGATACATAATTATGTACAGAAAATCAACTACATAAATCAAAATTCCAAAATAACCTTTTATCTACAAAATAACTATTAACTTAATTAAAGAAAACATATAATTGTCTAAAATAAACACATAATGAAATATGAGTTATATGGAAGCTACACAATTAATGATTTATTTTTTATTTAAATAGTATTATATTATTTCCATCTATAGTAAGTAATTAATGCTGATGGCGGGAAAATGTTACTAAAAATGATTTAAGTTAATCTTTATTATATATTAATAGATATAGATATAAATAATCTAAGACTTTGTTTATCTGTAACCCAAGCATTGGGTCACCAAGAAAAGACAAGAAAAATAAAAAAAAAAATTGAAAAATCAACAAAAGTGCGTGATCCAGGTTACAATGTGACCTAGGGTCACAACTGGTTGGGGGAGAATTTTGAAACACTTGTCCCATTTTTATTGGACAAATATTTTTTTTTTTTGGTTTCTAAAAAAATTACAAAAATTACAAAAATTCATATTTTTTCATTCTCTACAAATAGAGACCACACTTGATTTATTTTAGAACACAATTGTAATTTTTAAATAATTAAAATAAATTAAATATTTAGGTTGGGTTGAGTTGGGGATAAAGATAAATTAGATTGGAAGATTGAGTTGTGTATGTGGAGGAGTGAGAAATAATTTTTAATCATTAGGTTGGGTTGGACTAGATTACGGATAATGATAGTCTAGTATCCGG